ACGGTATTGATGGCTTCATCAAACAGCTCAAGAGACTTCCACGGGAGGTCAAAGCTTTACCGCTATGTCATGTCCTAGAAGAGAAAATGAAGGAATTTAAGAACTCTATACCGCTCTTCTCTGATTTGAAGAACGAAGCTCTAAGAGAACGGTAAGTAAATAGTAGTTTTCAGAGGGTTTTCAGGCCTGATTTTATTACACTTCTCTCTTTTTCCCCTAAACTTTGATGATGTAATGCGTGTGGCCATTTAAAGAAAGCTGTCCAGCAGTACGTTCATGTGGCACTGTTTGTCACAGAATACAAGTTATTTCAAATTTTTAATCTTGAGGTAAAAACCCCAATGTGTGACCATTCAAATGAAAGCTATTGAATGGGACTTTCATGTGTTACAGTTGTCAAGCCTTTTTGCAAGTGAAATGTTTAGAGAAAAAGACTAGCTATGGACTAACTAGCTAAAGACTGGCTGGTGTAAAGGGTTAAAAGGAAAGTAAAATCAAATGCTCCTTAGAGCTACCCCATGGTATTGTCTATGTATTTTTAGCGCCCTCGTTCACCTACCTTGGGTGTCTTTGGAGGGGAGGTAGTGGAAAATGTGTTTGATCCAGGTTTAATGTATAAATTAATTGTATAACACAATGGAGGGAGGGAGGGAGTGAATTTGAGGTCCATTCCTATAGGCTCATAGCATGACTTACGTCATACCACGAAGTCACGAGGTAAAAAAATGAAACAGTTACCTATGATGATGTCAGCCTTTATGTACTTTCCGGAGGCAACAGTTCATTACTGTTAAATGACGTATAAATCTTGTGATTACACTTCCAAACAGCCATTGGAAGAAGCTCATGGAAATGACGGGCATGAAATTCGACCTGAATCCCGACACCTTCACACTCCAGAACATGTTCGCCATGGAGTTACATAAGTTCCAGGATGTAATCGGTGACATCACGGCCAGTGCCACAAAGGAGCTCGGGATCGAAAAAGGCATCAGTGAAGTAGGGGATACGTGGGGAGCCATGAAATTCACCGTGTCTAAATTTATGAAGGGAACACAGGAGAGAGGGTTCATTTTGGGTGCTGTGGATGAAATTCTACAGATTCTGGACGATAATGCTATGAATCTTCAGAGCATGTCTGCATCTCGGTTTGTTGGGCCTTTCCTGGAAACGGTTAACAAGTGGGAGAAGAGTTTGTCGCACATTGGTGAGGTGGTCGAGGTGAGGATATCTTGGTTATTGACCAGTGGTGAGGTCAAGATGGTTGGATATTGGCCAAGACTGAGTTTAAGTCCATAAACTCGCAACAAAAGAACGAGGCCAATGTGACTGCTTATTTTCTGCTATTTGTAAGAACTGTCACTTATTTGGAATTCTTACCACAGACAAGACTGTTTCGGGGTATTGAAGTCTTCAAGCTAGATGTACAATTTACTGGAAGACGTTCATTCAGTCGTTACACTTCCTAGCTCCTTGCGGAACATTAGTCCGACATCATCGTTTTCCATGTAATCCTGTTTTGGACTGTTTTCTTAGCAGCACTTTAGCTGTTTTCTTTCAACTCTGCCATATGAGTGCGCCTCCATGACTGCATTGGGCCTCGCCCTCCTTCGTTTACCTTGTGGATTTTACTTAAGGGCTGCCCTGGCTATGCTACCTTCTTTATTCAGTGCTTGGCTAAAACGAAGGGTAAACCTCGTCGCTATAATCTCCAAATTACAACAATACCAAATACAGAAACATCTCAATTGAATTGTTTTGGTCTGCGCAATGCCTAGATAAGATGCGCTTTCATTTGGCAGTCATTTTCATTAGGAACATCAACGACATTTATATGTACCATGTGGGAAAAAAGAAATCTTCTAATAGCAATGCAATGTTATGTAACGCAGGTGTGGATGGTTGTGCAAAGAAAGTGGATGTACCTGGAAAGTATCTTTATTGGAGGTGATATCCGAGCGCAGCTGCCAGAAGAGGCCAAGAAATTTGACGACATTGACAAAACGTTCAAGAAGGTTTGTAACTTCTAAAGCTCTGACAAGACTTATTCTTTGAAGAAATGTTCATGCGAGGTATTGGCAAAAGAAAGAACAATTCTTTCTGGTCACTTTGTGAGTTCTTAATATTAAGAACTCACAAAGTGACCAGCTCCCAGATGGCTTGATAGCTCAGTTGGCCTGGTAGAGCGCTGCACCGGTATCTCAGAGGTCATGGGTTCGAATCCCGTGCAGGCCTGAATTTTTTTCAGGCTTTAATTTCACAATTACTTAAGTTAAGTGCATAACTGCGATGATCAATAATGTCTTCATATCTTTCTCCGCAGTTCAAAGATATGATCTTTCATATATTCACTTGTAGTAGTTTACTAAGATGGAAAAACACCAAAGAGATAATAATAAACCATAAAGGAACAAGGATGGTCAAGGATGGAGAAGATTAACACGGATTACAAACTACGAACTTGAAAAATTTAGGCCTAACTTTTCAAAATGCACAAACCGTGACGTAGATCCTTCAATGCATCT